ATCAATATAGGAATGATCAGAAAGTACTTATCTATTTATCTTTTAATTTTCATGGAATTATTTCCCAGCAGCTTGACTGCATTAACCTTTGTCGATTTCATATCATTTCTAGAAATATATGGATTCGTTTTCCGATGGCATTTCAGGTTAGATTCCCAAATTTCTGCTACCGCAGTTGTCGGTTGATTGGTCAAACCACACTGACATACAAACTTGGCAAGTTGACTTGGGTGTCACACCAATAGGTGGTTCCACTTATGTTTCACTTGCGTTTATGCAGCTATTTTTATCAAGTACTTTTCTGGTTTTTTCACATTTTGTCTTCAATCAAGGACCGCCTGCCCGGTACTGACGATGCCCAATAGGCTGAAACCGCTGTCTACCGTGGCTCTTAAATTGAAATCAATATCCATCAAAAAATTTTGATGGATATTGGTTACGTCAACCTCCACGTTTGAAACAAACACTGCATCAGCTACATCAGCACCTCTATATACTCGTAATAGAAATTTTTAAATTGAATCATCGAAAGAGCGTTTTATGATATATGAGAAAGCATGTGGAATATAAATTTCCTTTGTGAAAGAGTGAGCAGGATTTGATTCATTGGTATGGATTGATTTCAAAATAGATTGAAAATCATCATATACAATGAATGGAACAATTATTTCAATTATTACAGGTACATATTTACCAAATTTGTCAGTCCTGAAATATGTGTTCGATGTTGTTGAAATGTGATTACAGTCATTCAACTGATGTTGCAATAAATCCCACTCATCACTAAAGTACAATAAACAACTATCACAAAAATATTTGTTGTGATAGCGTGGAGATATTTGGGATGCTACCAGTCTCAATGTATCCTTCATCCTACAACAATGACTATTACCAGACTCATCTGTGATATTCAAAGGATTCACGTGACTATTGGATCGACATTTTAACTCAAGTAGAAAATCCATACCTCCTTGATTTCATACGATTGAGAAGTAGGGGTATGATAAAATTTCATACTCTTTTATTGGCAGGATACAAAGCTGAAGTCATAGCACACGCAAAGCAGTACTAGTCCTGTTTCATGATGGAATCGGCCGATACTTGATGAAAATCCATAGCTAACGTATTCTAAAAACACTTTATTGTGTGATTTTCACTAGACAGTTTTACAAAAACGCAACACGTGTTTCGCCATATTAAGACACGCCCGAGGAAGCCATCGTATGGCGAAACACGTGTTGCATTTTTGTAAAACTGTCTAGTGAAAATCACACAATAAAGTGTTTTTAGAATACGTTACTCCTGTTTCATCACACTTCTCTTGGATTGGATGAACTTGAGAAATTTGAGTTAAAATATGATGATTATGTGAATAGATCATAAACTTAGGCAGTCAAACTATCAGCAGAAGTGTTATGTACCACATTCAAATCATTTGTTTGATAAATATCTTGATTGGAACTATTGAATGTTTTAATATCACAATATTCTACAGTTTGTAGATTGTAGCACCCATACACCTCATATCAGCTTTCATAATTTCATGGATCCCCAATACGTCCTCGAGCAGTTTCAATACTTTCTGCTTCAATTTTTTTAAAAATGTGGTGTGATCCGTGTGATAGTTTTGACTATCTACCCTGTTGTCACAATTCCACACTTGAAAGTCGTGCCTGAAGCTTAATGCAAACATGTCACAAAATTCTCTCATGTAGATACATCTAATCACTTGCAATAGTCAAATTGTAGCACTGACATACCTGCATTGCTAGAGATGTTGAGAAGTTCAACCTCCGTTTCTTTGGGGTTGATGGTTCTCTATCATTTCCAGTCGATGGTTCCCCATAATTCACCAACGTACAGGAATCCTATTGATGACGACACATGTTGTCACTACAATTGAGACTTTTCCCACATCCGTTGTACATATACATTTTGTATGGAATCAAGATCAAACTCGATGTTCAAGCTCATATGGCATGCACATATTTCGAAGTAATGAAATGCTCTCCAAGTTCAAACATCAAGGTCACGTACGTGGGTCGGTCTCGAATCTCAAGCTCAACTTTCTTTTTTAAGATCATATGACCTCACACATACAGAGTGACTCACGGTCGATAGTAGGTTAGACGTTTCTGGAAAACGCAAAGCATGATTTTTCTGAAAATTTCACCTCTCACATTTCTTCACCTGTTCTATCGATCTAAAATATTTTCAGCATTACGGCGTTGTCACTTCTATCAAAAAGTCCTAGCAATTATATTTTTTTAAATGGAACACCCCGTATATTAATACATTTTTGGAATCGCTCTA